TTTGCATTAGTGTTTTTCTTTAATTGCTAATGCGAACTTTTTACACAACAGACTGAACAAAATTAAGCATTGCATAAATTTTGGTTTGACTGTAGATAGACAGACAGACAGATAGATAGCTAGATGGATGGAGGACAGACAAGACAGACGATAGATAGATAGATAAATAAATAAATAAATGGACGGAGGACAGACAAGATAGACGATAGATAGATAGATAGATAAATAGATAGATAAATAGATAGATAGATGACAGACAAGACAGACGATAGATAGATAGATAGATAGATGGAGGACAGACAGACAGACAGGATAGATAGATAGATAATGTGTCTAGTAATGAGTGGGAAATTGTATTAGATTGAAGCAAAATTTGGGCACATTATATATTTTAAAAAATTCTGAAAAAATAGAGCATGCAGCTTCAGTATGTATATGACACTTAATACAGCAAGGCACGTAGAAATGATCATCAGCTATTTTGAACTTTTACCTTTAGTGCTATAATTGCGATAGCAAGCGGTAGTGTCTGACTGAGCACATACGATAATGACTCTGAAGTCAGCAACTTAAGCTCAGTCACCTTTGGTCTCTGTGGTCAGTGGACGGAGGACAGACAAGATAGACGATAGATAGATAGATAGATAAATAGATAGATAAATAGATAGATAGATGACAGACAAGACAGACGATAGATAGATAGATAGATAGATAGATAGAGGACAGACAAGACAGACGATAGATAGATAGATGGACGGAGGACAGACAAGACAGACGATAGATAGATGGACGGAGGACAGACAGACATATAGATAGATGGACAGAGGACAGACAAGACAGACGATAGATAGATAGATAGATAGATGGAGGACAGACAGACAGACAGGATAGATAGATAGATAATGTGTCTAGTAATGAGTGGGAAATTGTATTAGATTGAAGCAAAATTTGGGCACATTATATATTTAAAAAAATTCTGAAAAAATAGAGCATGCAGCTTCAGTATGTATATGACACTTAATACAGCAAGGCACGTAGAAATGATCATCAGCTATTTTGAACTTTTACCTTTAGTGCTATAATTGCGATAGCAAGCGGTAGTGTCTGACTGAGCACATACGATAATGACTCTGAAGTCAGCAACTTAAGCTCAGTCACCTTTGGTCTCTGTGGTCAGTACCTGTGTTCAGCACTGAGGATTAAAGCCTTATCAACTGGTGCAGAGTTGTCAGGATCCACACTCACAGCCAGATTACGGGTTGTGATCCACTAATAAGTTCATTCACTGCAGATCAAAATGAGATTTATTCATTACACCGATCCTAGGCACAGCTACCGTCGTTCCTTTCGGTCTCACTTTACCTTATTCTCTTATGATCTGCTCACACCTACAGAATTATCACAAACGTTTTTTTGATTTTAAGCACTTCATCTGGTCACACTGTCAGAATCTGCTCTCTCTTCTTCACTCACAGTATATCAGCAGGCCTGCGTCTTTTCCCTCACCTCCTCTCTTCTAACTACATTCTTTTGATCCCACTATTTGACTCCTCTAAACATCACGTCTGCTTGTCGTCTTTCTCCTCCCGCGCTCGCTTGAGTTGTTGTGTTATTCTTGTCTTCCCCTCCTTACTCTCGTGTCTCTCATCCCCGCGCTCGCTTCCTGCTTGCTGAGGCCACATCGTCCCAGCCGGTTATCCCTTTTCCCTCTCTCTCTCCTTCCCTCCCCACGCTCTTTCCCTTGTGATAAATGAGGCTGTCTGTTGGGTGCAGTTCATATTTACTGAGTAGGGGAGCGCACACTGTCAGTCTCCCTCACCCTCCACATCTCTTTCCCTGTGCTAAACAGACACCCAGAGCCAAAGGTTAGGACATAAGGGTGGACTGGGGAGGAGAAGAAAGGAGCAGTTGTGGATTGTAGATTTGGGGCTATATGAGAAGCACCAGTGCTGGGAGCTGCACAACATATAAAAAGATGGCAATTGTGTGTGCCGTGACGCTAATCGAAAATGAGAAGCTCCTCATTTCGAGTTCGACAGCACCGACCCTACTCGTTTTCTGTGCTAACCATCCTCCCCTAAGCAAAACGCACAGCATCTTTTCACTGTCTTTTGTGCGCCTGAGCTTTCAGGCAGTTAATACGTGCCAAGAAAGTACCATGACCAAAAAAACACCTAAAATACACAGTTTCATCTACGCCTACATAAACCATCCCTCACGCACGGCTTGTGTTATTCGCAGGGAGTGGAAAGTGGTGATTTGACCTCTGCTGTAACCCTTTCATGAATGAGAGAAGTGGATTTGGGCTTGGCTGAGCCCAAAGGGACACAGACGCAGCCGCCCTAAAGCCCCATGAAGACCCCGAAAGCCGGCGGCTCTTCCCACACACTGACCTCTGAGGCCAACAAGCGCCAAAACCACTGCAGCGAGACGACACTGTGACACCGGCACACCAAAGCCAACAATGTGTTCCTTCAGCAAATTGACAAGAGTATTGAGAGAAAATATGGAGAAAATTGGATTGCTGGAATTACATATAAAAAATTGGAGATGGGGGAAAAATGTGCAAGAGGGCTCTTATTTAATTCAACATTGAAGTAATTCAATTTTAGAGTATTCTAGAGATGGTCAGTCAGAAAACTGCCTGTAAATAAGGGTATTAGAGTTTCAGCACTGACCATTGATGGATCATTTTACAAAAAAACACATGTCAAATCACAGGTCAAAGATCAAACTATGATCTCAGAAAACAAGTCAACGCATTTGTTAGCATAGTAGCTATGTAGTAAACTAAAGGCTGGAATACACTACATGACTTCTACATAGATTTTTGCCCCAATTTGTCTGTTGGTGTCAACGCTAGTTGCCGAAAGTCAACACCAGTCTGCAGATTTTGAGCAGTTACAGTTCACAGAAAATCGTTAGTGTATGATGGGTACCAACTCTACCTTTTTTTTTTTTTTTTTAGCTTCAGACCATCCTGATTCCATCCAGTGATAGCATATCATGTTTGAGGCAATTTTAGAACACATATCTTCATTTATGACATGTTTCCGCAAGGAGGCACATGTTCCAAAGTTGTTTTTTTTGTGTTTGAAACGACTTGAAAGTCTAGTAGTGTATGATCCTCAGTCGTTTAGTGTATGATGTTGAGTTTTTCTGTAACCATTTACAAAGCCGGCAAGTGTGTGTCGATTAGTGTTTTAAAATCCGTTCAGATTTTAAAAGTAGTGTAGTGTATTCCACTACCGTTCTCACAAACAGCGTTCTTGCGTTAAAAAACGCGTAGCGCAACAGAAATCAAGAATGCAGAGTCCTGTGACGCATTTTAAGCCCTTGTTCCCGAAAAGGCTAAAAACTTAGCAAGAAACGAACGGTAATATCGTTGGTGTGCCTAAATACACAGAAAAAAAAAATACGTAAAAGCAACGCAGCGGAATGCACAGTTCTGGGTGAAAGTATGATTTTATGATAATAATTTGACACGGAGACGAGGGAGTAACGCAAACAGAAATGCATGTTACGTATTAGAGGCTGTTATACTTTTTCACTTGTTTGTGTGAAGTAACCCAGCAGGTTGTCTCACTGTGGGAAGAGTGAGAATCACAGGAGACAGACAGATGGCACCAAAGCACATCCTAATTCCCAAAAGCACACTTTGACAGATATCTGTTTCCCCCTGGTGCCCCAAAGGAGGAACTGCTACCAAATTGTAACGTTTGTGGCAATTTCTAAACATTTACATTCTTCAGAGTGACTGACATGGCTAGTGAAATACAGAAGTAGTGTTTGTAAAGCATATACTCAAAAACTGAAAAGGTTTACCTATGTTACTATGTCTCCAATGGTCATTTCTGTCCGTACCCTGTAAAACAAGAAAATCATGTGAGGGGAAAAAAAACCCTGTCATGTAATCCGTCTCAATTTTCAAAATCTATTAATTTTGTGCATCTGGCTCACCTCCCTATCACCCAATCTTTAGAAGCCATGTTTGTTCTGACAATTATTATTACTACAGCAACAGAGAGAATTAAAACACACTCCCTTCCATACATCTCCCTGACCCTCCTTCTCAGACAAGAGGCTTGCTAAATGAAAAATGGACATGCTTTAAGAAGTATTGATTCCAGCTTTAAACAAAGGTAGACTCAATATTATTTAGCCCTAAATACATCTTTGTTATCTGTGTCGGTGCACCAGTCACGCTGCTGTCCTCATAATCGCAGACATAAAAATAATAGGGCTATTCCCCCAACATTGACTGAAGCAGACCTGTTTGGGCCCTTTGACCAAGTGATCCATCTATTGGCTTTGAGCATTTGCACAGACTGCAACGATGCTTTGGTTGCCTGTGCACAAGCTGAGAAGGAAAGACAAAAAGACAATGGTTTAGACAAAATGGCCATGGTTTGCATATTGTATTTACTGTTTTAAGATAAGAATACAGTTTCATGATGCACAGTTCAAGCCAATACAATGACAAACCACTGCGTCAAGTTTTAATTAGCGCAACTCATTTGATGTCATCATCTATTTAAAAATAAACAGTGACCTTATGAACTTGTATCTTAACCCTTCATACAAATTTTTTATATTACATCAGGAATACCAGTGCTTCAAAGCATACATGTAGAATTATTTAATCTTAACTAGACACAATTATAATACAATTCTTACTCTCAGAATACTTTGGCATTGAACAGTGACATTAAATGGATCAACTACAACAATGAACTGAAAAATAGCCAACCCATTACAGTATTTACTTGGTGAAAATTCAACACGCAATTCAACAGATTTACAGTGCCCTCCATAAGGCATTAGGATAGCAAATACAAAATTGCTTTTTTGTTGCACACAAGGCATCTGAAAATATGATTAAAAATGAATCAATAGTATACTTAGTTCCATATTAACACAAAATTGAATTAATGGAACTCTAAAATCACCACTACACAGTGTACATGTGTTCAAACAGAAATCAAAATTCTGTAATTTTGCCTCACATCCATCTTTTATTCATATTTGCAGATGCCTTTTGTACAGCAAAGAGAAAGACCTCAAATTATAGATGATGCAGCCCTTGAATGCTTCCATCATACAGCTCACAGATTAATATTAAAATAATAATAATCATAGAATATTAAGCCACAGCAGAAGTAAAACTCACATCTTCATTTATTCTTGTGAACTAACAGTGTCTTTAAATTATTACTTTATGCTAATGACGCCTGTACCTTAAATAGACACTTTAAAGCACAGTTCATTTGTCAGATTTACTACCCATATTAACAAAAATAATTGTAAGGCATTAATTCTATTCGATCAATATTTCCAATGGAGTAGAGCATGCAAAATAGCTATATTGTTAAAACTTTAAGGGCAGTCCAGAAAGGAAGACTGGATTGCATCTGGATTCAGTAACTTTTAAGAAGTAAACTGATAACCAATTCATCGATGAGCTCCCAATTCATTTTCCTCAATGAAACTGAGATTATACAGAAGTAGTGCAGCTATCCATCCTTATATGTGCTTTTCCATGTGTTGAGAAAGATGGTGCGAGCGAGTGAAGGTGCGGAGACACCGTGGGCAGCTGTACGGCCTCTCGCCCGTGTGTGTTAGTTTGTGTAACTTCAGGTGCTGGGGCATGAGAAAACTCTTCCCGCACTCCGTACACTTGTAGGGCCTGTGGCCCGTGTGACTGCGCCTGTGCTTGCTCAGGTCGCCAGAGTTGTTGAAGCGGCGGTCGCAGTCAGAACAGGCGAAGGGTTTTTCCCCCGTGTGCCTCCTCATGTGTTTGGTCAAATCGCCAGATTGAGCGTAGCTGGAGCCGCACTGCTCGCAGCAGTACGGTTTCTCGCCGGTGTGGGTTCGCATGTGGATTTTCAGGTGCGAGATGCGGACGAAACGTTTGGTGCAGACGTTGCACTGGTACGGCCGCTCGCCCGAGTGAATGCGTAGGTGTTTCTTGAGCACGTCCTCCCGTGAAAACGTCTTCGTACATTCTCTACACTGCAGCATTCGCTCCGAGTTGTGCGCTCTTTGGTGAACCTTCACATACCTCAGAGCGGAGAACATTTTGCCACAGTCTGGGCATGAAAATGTTTTTTCCTTGGAGTGAATTTGTTGGTGGATGCGAAGCGTCGATCGGTGGCTGAATCTCATCCCGCACTGGGGACAAGGGTACGGCCTTTCACCCGTGTGGGTTCGCAGATGACATCTGAGGTGGGCCATCCTTGCGAACGCTTTACTACATTCGGGACACTTGTATGGCCGGATTCCTGTATGTATGACTTTGTGATTCCGCAGACTCCCCATATCATGAAATCCACGGCCGCAGTCTTCGCAGACGCACGGCTTCTCGCCAGTATGAATGCGTTTGTGTATCGTCAGGCCTTGAAGTGTAGAGCAGTTCTTGCCACAGTCTCGGCACAAATAGCCACGGTCCGTGCAAATGGGTTCCTCGACACCCACCTTGGGTTTCTTCTCCTCCTCATGGCAGCGATGTGGTCCGAGACCCCAGACTCCAGCAAAGCTTTGACCGCATTTAGCACAGCTAATTTGTCCATCTTTACACTCGGTGGCCAAGCCATGGCATCTGCGGCAGTGGTTTTTCAGGTTGCCGATGTAATCGAAGCTGCGATCACACTGTGGGCAGGTGTAGCGTTTTCGGATAGGTTTGGGTGTAGGGAGGTGGGCTTTGCGCACATGGGTCTCCAGCTGCCTCTGAGAGAAGAACCGATAGTGGCACGATGAGCAGCTGAGCATCCTGGAGGATATTTTGGAGCAGTTGTAGACTTTGTGGTTTTTCACCCATGCTAGATATTCACTTCGATGGCACCATTTGAGGTGTTTGTCCAAGTATGTAAAGTCAGTGAAAGTCACAGAGCAATGAGGACACGGAAAAATCAGGGAGGAGGAAGCTGTGGAGAGGAAAAGGGACAGAAAAATATGCCAACTGATAAAGAAACAGTCTTGTGTGGTCAAATGTCAAGTCAAGTGAATCTTCTTAGATTTAGGTTGTCATCTACAATCATGGCCAAACGTTTTGGCAGTGACATAAATTTTGTGTTTTGCAAAGTTTGCGGCTTAAGCTGTTGTGGTGTTCATTCACATTGTTTCTAGATTATTGTGTAGAGTGATCAGATGCATTTTAAATAATTGCTAAAAGCATCATTGGCCAAAAAAAGTAACTTTTCACAAAAAAAAAACAAATTTCACTGTTTTTTGATCCTGACACAAAAGGACCAGCCAACATTAATTGACTAATTATATCAGCAGCACATGTGAAAGTGTGAATGAGTACTAGTCAGGTAAAATCACTATCATACTAATTAGATTGTAAGAGCAGACTGATTGCTATAAAAGGAGGGAAGAAGTGCTTCCAATCATTGTGTTCTTGTTAGCAATGGTTTCCTCCAAAGAAACACGTGCAGCCATCATCGCTTTGCATCAAAATGGCCTCACATGAGAGGAAATTGCTACAAAGAATATTGCACCTGAAAGAACCATTTATCGCAGAGGTGCCCAAACTTGGTCCTGGAGGGCCGGTGTCCTGCAGAGTTTAGCTCCAACTTGCCTCAACACACCTGCCTTCAAGTTTCTAGTATGCCTAGTAAGAGCTTGATTAGCTGGTTCAGGTGTGTTTAATTGGGGTTGGAGCTAAACTCTTCAGGACACCGGCCCTCCAGGACCGAGTTTGGGCACCCCTGATTTATCGGATCATAAACAACTTCAAGGAGAGAGGTTCGTTTGCAGTGAAGAAGTCTTCAGGACATCCCAGAGTGTTCTCTCCAAGAAAAAACATCAAGGACAGACTGAAATTCTGCAGGAAGTACAAGGATTGGACAGTAGAAGACTAGTGCAAAGTTATTTTCTCTGATGAAGCTCCCTTCTGACTGTTTGGGACATCTGGAAAATCGATTATTTGGAGAAGAAAAGGTGAACACTACCACGAGTCCTGTGTTGTGCCAACAGTGAAGCATCCCGAGACCATCCATGTGTGGGGTTGCTTTTCAACCAAGTGAGTGGGCTCTCTCATAATTCTGCCCAAAAACACTGCCATGAATAAAGAATGGTGTCAAAACGTCCTGCAAGAGCGACTTCTTCCAACGATCCATGAGCAATTTGGTGATGATCAGTGCATTTTCCAGCATGATGGAGCACCATGTCACAAAGCAAGAGCGATAAAGAAGTGAATCCCCGGATCTCAATCCTATAGAGAACCTGTGGTCAGTCCTCAAAAGGCGAGTGGACAAGCAGAAGTCCACAAATTGTAATCAACTCCGAGAACTATAAGGCAAAAATGGATCACCATCAGTCAGGATTTGGCCCAGAAGCTAATATCCAGCATGCCAGAGCGAATTGCAGATGTTATGAAGAACAAGGGTCAACACTGTACATATTGACTTTTTTTGCCTTTAAAACTTTTGATATGCTTATCATTGTTTTTCAGTATACCATAGAAACATGTGGAAAAATAATCTACAAATACTGAAGCAGCAAACTTTGCAAAACACAAAATTTGTCACTGCCAAAACTATTGGCCATGACTGTACAATCAATTAACAGTCAGTGTTATTAATTATGACCCCGCCCACCCCCCACCAGAAAACATATATATATAAACCATAATACTACTCTAAAAATTCAAACTAAACTAAAATGAAAGAACAAACTTAAAATAAAATAGAAATGGTAAAAAAAAAAAAAGAAAATCAAAACTCAAAACTACAGGATTTTTCAAAGCATGCCTCTTGCGGTCAACTTTAATATATGTAAACTGTGTGATTTACAAGATTGGGCATATTAAATAAATGTATTACCCGTGTTTTTCTCCAGGCCAGAATCACTCACAGAATTTTCATCTAGCGTCTCAAGCTTCACTTCCTTCCAGCTGTCATTCTCCTCCTTCACAATCAAAGTAGACTCTCTCTGCAGCACTTCAAAAATGCCAGGCTCAGTTTTACCCTGAAAACTAGGTGGGTTTAAAGGGACACAGTCTGGTTCTGTCTTTGGAACGAATGCTCTGAAAGCAGGAGGATGAGGCTGCAGATTGACTTTCTGCTGCTTCTGTTGTTGGTGTTTTTCAGAGGACACCGTTAGGACTCCCAATGCTTCCAGCTCTCCTCCTTCTGGTTTGATCCGTGTGACCTCAGGACAGGTGTCCACAGCACAGTCCTGAGTAGCATTAGATGTTTTGGTTTCATTTGTGTCAGAACTAATGCCATCATTTGCTGGCAATGGCTCTTTTTCACAATTTGGCAGTTCTTTGGTTTTCTTTTTTCTGGATAACTTTCTTTTCTTTAGCAAGTTCTTTTCTTTAGCTTTCATCTTGTGCACAACCTAAAGAAATGTTTGAGAAGGACAATAATATAGTTTACGGTTTTATTTACAATACATTCCTGGTATAGCATTTATACTATTATATTATTAGAAGTATAATTTCTTATTTTTAAAGATAACACAAACTAATAGGTATAGGCTTCTCATCTCTAATCTCAAATTCCAGTATCAAGTAACATCTGAATTTAAACAAAATTTAGCTGGAAAAACTATGTTTTGCAACATAGTAGCGAGTTTAAGGTGGTCTAACAACCTGGACAAACTAGTCTAGCTGGTTCACCAGCGTGGCCAAGCAGGTGATCTCAATCAGACCAGCAGAAAACTGCGCAAAACTCCTCTAAAACCAGCTAAGAAGGCTCTGACCAGGCGGGGACACCAACTAAGCCTGGTTTGTGTTTTTCAGCAGGGATGTTTAATCATGAAGGTTCATAATAGCCAATGTGACAATAACAGCTCAGGTTCACAATAGCTCATATCAGCGGGTTGCAGACATGCAGATGTAAACAGAAGTGTCGTGTTGACTTAAATAACGCACAAAATATTCTTACCGGAAATACTAAACCTTTAGTTAATCTGCTGCATTTAGGCGGCAATGAATATTCGATTGGACTGCAGACTGTGTTGATTGTCCTGTGGACTGTCACAGCCCTCAGCGTACCGCATTCTACAGCTCAAGCAGGCGTCTTACACATCCACCGCTAAAATCACACCAACTCGTCTAGTTATACTAGTGAAAGTATAGCTATAAAAGACCTGGAGTAGTTTGCACTGACCCCGTTTTTCAGGTCTGAAATACGTTATATCGATGCTGCTTATAGATACTAGGTAAAGCCAGCAACGATAACACAAAATAAGGTCAACGCTGACGCTGCTTTTCAAAATAAAAGTTCCTGAACCTTTATTTTTTTCTAGTGGACATATTTTAAACTTCCCAATAAAAGAATTCTAAACTCATTAAAACCACGTAAATGTCCGTAAATACAATACTTTCATACCGTTTCCTTAGCATCTAATATAATAGAGATAAATCCACCTAACACAAGACAGATCACTAAGACACCTAATTTCAATCATAACTCAATTTTAATCAAAGGTGCAGCTACTGTTTTTGGTTTTATACTGCAGTAGGTAATTTTATTCTCATTAGACTCATTTTCAGAGGAAGTAAGTGTCAAATCAGGTACAAAAACAAAGACAACACAACAAACCCAGGTAACTATTAATGGATGATATTTTATTATATACACACCGCTGTTAAGCATCAAAGGCATGTGCACCAACCACAGTAAAAACTGTAAAAGCATTTGAAAATGTCTGAACAGAACACAAAGCTTGCTTTACCATATTCAAACCCAAATCAAATGTTTTGGTCTTGTGCATAATTTATATCACAATCACTTTTTCTGGTTTAACCTAACAAATTAACCAACTTAGCTTAAATTTGCTTTCTCTGGAATCCGAGATAAACATATGGCTTCTCCTGTTATGTTTCTGTTATTTACATTAAATAATCATAATGTCAAATGAACACTTTTCAAAATATCTTCTAATTTACCATGACTTTAATTCTCAAAAAAAAGTAACTTTCTACATCAACCTGTCCTACATAAATACCAGTCAGATTA